TCTTCTTCTTCTTCTTCTTCCTCTTCTTCTCCCCCTCCTCCTCCTCCTCCTCCTCCTCCTCCTTCTCCTCCTCCTCCTCCTCCTCCTCCTCCTCCTCTTCTTCTTCTTCTTCTTCTTCTTCTTCTTCTTCTTCCAATTTTGTACACCATCGTCCTTTTTCTTACTAGAGGCAACAAAAAATAGCGTACTTACAGAACAGTGTGTAAGAAAACAGTATTAGTATAGTCAAATGTTCTAAAGACTCATTCTTATGTGTAGGTGTCTACACTACTGTGATTGTCTTGGTTGTCACTCTCAACGAAAGATGTATGTTTTGCATCCTTGTTTTTATGGTGGTTCACTCATGGAAAAATGATTATTGTAATTTGGCTAAAATTTCACATAAAATTACAAAGGCAAAGAGAAAACGTCGGTGGTCTAGTGGTTAGGCTGTTTAGCCCGCAATATATCGGTAGTTTGTTAGTGTTGAGGCACTTAATTGACTGCTTGAACCTTCATGCTTCCCAGGGAACCCCGTAATTGTTTCTGAGTGGTCTTGGGTCTGCTGGAGTAATAATAGATGGGTTTTTTTGCTTGTTTGTTTGTTTGTTTGTAATTTAAGTAAGAGTTTTACGGCGCTCGCAACTGCAGAACGTCATAATTATGAACGAGCAGGACACAAGTTGGTTGTTATTTTTCAGCTTTAGTAGGAATTCAGTTTGAATTTTACCAGGGTAGCGGTAAACTCTACTCTTATCGATTTCAGGATCATGAAGGGATCTTTAACGTGAGCACACAGGACCTCCGAGATGTTTTTGCCCTTATCCGAGAAAGCTAGGTGTTCGATTCTACCTACCCTAAGATCAGAGGTGTGACTGAAAGACATTAGGAAGGAGCCAGGAGTAGCAGAAGAAAGAATCGACCACAGAGGATGGGGAATTAGGGTTTGGGGGGGGGGGGTGTCTACAAGTGGAGTTGAAAACAGACGAAAGAACAAGACGAGAGAGCAGGAAAGGAGGACAAAGGAGAATAAAATCTGTCGTCGCTGTCAGGTTTCGAACCCGAGACCTATTGGAAGCGAAGCGAACTTACTACTTCTTGACCACGAGAGCCTCCTTTTATATAGATTGTGAAACATAGAGAATGCACTGCTGGGCGAATATATGCGCTATACAACTAATACTATCTATTATCATCAATCATAATTAAACATTGCTAATATATGGTTAGGTCCAAACAATTTCTCCTGACCCATTTAAACGCATTAATCTCGGTTTATTGTCACATGTTTGAATAAACTGGTGAATTCTTTCAAACATTATTTCCGAACTTAGCTGTACTGTAAGATAGACAGCCTATAGAGCTGAACTTTACAGACTTTGAAACACCAATAAGGTCGAAATAACCTGCAGTTTACTTGAAACCCGACATTGGCTTGGAAGGAACCCCGCCACAAACTCCTCCTCTGTTCTATCTCAGCCAATGAGGAGCGCCGAGGTGTGCACATGCGCATTGTGTTCCGGAAGGACTGTCGAAAATTCTGTAGAGCAATAAGAGCAGACATATGCTTTTTGACTATGTTCTTGAAGTCTTCATTTGTATTAATATTCTTTCTAACATAGTATTTTCCCTTCAAATGTGAACGTAACAAGTTCAAATGTAACATAGGTACGTAAAATGTAAATATGGAGGCCAGATATTACATGCAATTTCAAAATCTGTATATTATTACTTTCAAATGTGAAAATTGCGATTTCAAATATAGAGAAATACACCATCAAATGAAACATTGCACGTACAAATGTAGTAAGGCTGTTAAAGATTTTCGAAAATACAACTCCTCCAGCCCTCCTCCTTCTCCACTGGGGACGGATATTGTGTTGAATGATTTTAAACAAATGAAATTAAAAGAAAACAGTTATTATTAACAGCAGACTATTTATTGATTTGCAGTAGCATCAAACAAGACCACCAC